TTCAATCTTAATTTCACTTGGGTCTCTCAGCCATTTAAAAAAAAAAAGTTGTGTGGAGACCAGGTCTCACTGTTGCCCAGGCTGGCCTTGAATTCCTATGCTCAAACAATCCTGCCCCCTTGACCTCCCAAGTAGCAGGGACTATAGGCACCTGCCACCACACCCAGATTCTGTTGGCCATTTGAGTGGTGCTGACTACTGCCTGCTTCTTGTGGCACATGTATTCCCTGTACTCTGACCCCATCTCTCCAAGTCCTCACGTCCTCCAGCCTCTCTGGTTGCTCTTTAACCTCCTGAGCCCTTAGATGAGACTTCCTCAAGGCTTAGTGCTAGGCACTCTTCTGGTCTAACTCTGCATTCTCTTAGGACCCCAGCTGCCTCTAAGGCTGCATTACCACTACTACCCCAGTTACTCCAGCCCCTGCTCTTCTCAGACCACCAGAGCCTATAGCTAACCACCTGCTCAACATCTCCATTTGGAGATCTCAAACTCAGCTGGACCAAATGTGAATCTTGGTGTAACAGAGGCAAAGGCCTGAAAAAGAGCAAAAATGTTTTATGAGCTGTTAATTACCATTTTGGGAAATTACAACCTGCATTCCTGTCCCAGTCCAGTAATCCAAAGGGCAAGTTCTTTGTTCTATGTGCCACAGGAGATGGCTCAATAGAACTGTCTGGAAGAGGTCATGAGGTTGTCTTCACCGAAGATATTATAGTTAAATAGAAATAGCCAGAAGCTGAAAACTACCTTTGAAAGCTCTGTATTTCTGCTTATAGTTGGGCAATGGTATGTTAAGATGAGAGTCTTCCATCCTCCTCATATGCCTGTGAATTAATAGACTTCTCTTTTCTTTCCCTTGAACCACTTTCCCCCCTTGTTCTTCTTTTCTTCCTTCTACCACGGAGACAGACAGGAAATTTTTGGTAACATTTGGAGGCTTTCTCAGCACTTTTCTCCAAGGTTTCCTCAACTCAGAAAATGGTATCAACCTCCATCTAGTTGAAGAACCAGAGCTTGGGGAGTTTTTCTTGATTCCTCCCCATTGAAGCAATTACCAAGTCTCATTACCAAAACTGCAAGGGGTTTTCAGCTTAGATGCAGTTGCAAACTGCACAAAGATCCAATGATTGAGACAACGGGGACTGCCAAGGAAGGATGGAATTTTAATGCTAAACATGTCTGTTGGGAGATAGGGAGAAATGGTCTCAATTTCACTTCACCACCAACAGAGATTATGGGCTTTTTAAGGTGGGGGCCACATACATTGGGGCAGGTCAAGTGTATTGGGGCAGGTCATGGGGGCGGTGATTCTTTGCATCAGCAGTCTTACTCAGGGGCCCTTGGTCAACTCCTTTATCTTGTAAAAATTCTGCCATTTCTGAGAAACAATTCAAAAAGTTCAAGTAGTTAGTTAAGGGAGGAGATATAAAAAAATATAGGTGTCATTGAAATCTGTTTACAAAGGCAGTAACAGTCTTGTTGGTGCTCAACAGTCACTGCACTGGTTAGTCTTGATAAACAGTCTCCAATACATCCCTCCACTCCACTCCTCCTTCTCCCCTATTCCTTCTTCAGATTGCAGTCAGACTGATTTTACCCCAAAGGAACTACAAATTTCAGTATATAACACCTGCTTCAAATGTCCCTTAGGAGTCACTAAGTGCGAACTCTATAACATGGTATCAAAGCCCCTTCCTTATCTAGGCCCTGCCCTGCCTTTCCCCCTCAACCACTTCTTGCCAGTGGCTTGTACCAACCAGGAACTCCTCTTGTACCCCCACATGATCCCACCACCTTGTACTTCCACAACTGTATTATATATCTGATAGTACAATTATTAACCTCCTCTCTCCAGCTTGTTTGTTAGGTCCAAGCGGTAGGCATGTTTCTGCCATGCTCACCACTCCAGTGCCTAGTCCTGTGTCATGTACCTGGTAGGTAGTAGGTGGCCAGCATATATTTGTTGAATAGTGGATGATCAGTCTACCTACTAATGATGGAGCCTGGTCTCTCTCTAGTAGGGATGATAGCCAAGGGGCTGTGGACTGTAACATTGAGTTATTCCCCCAAAAGACACAGCGTAACAGTTGCAGCTGTACTTGATTAATGGACCACGGATAGAATGCCTTTGTTTTTTAAATTTCACGTCAGCCTTTGGCAACTATGAAGGACACAAGCTTAATTTCCTTTGTGGTTGCCAGCTGACACTGTAACAGTTTCTTTACTAAAAACTCTTTGGCTGGGTGGTGCCAGTGGCTCAAAGGAGTAGGGTGCTGGCCCCATATACTGCAGGTGGCAGGTTCAAACCCAGTCCTGGCCAAAAAAAAAAAAAAAAAAAAAAAGAATGGCTGAAAAAAACTCTTTGGCTGGCAGTCCCTGGAAGCACATCTGTGACTTTAAATGGGAGTGCATTTAAAGGGAATACACATATGTATAGAAACAATATACTAATCTAATGGTATAGATAAATATTGGCTCGGCGCCTGTGGCTCAAGTGGCTAAGGCGCCAGCCACATACACCTAAGGTGGCGGGTTTGAATCCAGCCCAGGCC